TTGTTGCTGTGTGTTTGTAGAGCTGAATGCACAGTCTGACTCGTTATCCCGCTGCCTTGTTTTTCAGTATGCAGTCCTCTTTTTACTGGGCTTATTTGTGCTGGTCCATCGGGAGTAGTCTGCGTGCACTGAAGTTCCTAGCAAAGATGCCACGCTTTTTGTAACCAAGCGTTTGGGTCTGATGTGTGGTGCGAGAGGAGAACGTACATTTCAGTGCTTACCAGTTTGGGTTCGTTTTGGTTTTTTTTTACTGTGTACGGAAGAATGTCAATCAGTGTTCCCAATGGTTTGTCACACTTTAGCCTTTTTGTACATCGGTGGGTTTTTATATTAAAAGTCTAAACCAAAGCGTTGGGTGTGTACGTTTACAGTGGAGCTTCCTTTCTGAAGTGCCTATGGGAGTGGTCTCCACATCGGTGCTGCTGCGGGCTGAGAGTAAACCCTTCCAGTTTGTAGTGACGGTGCCGGGGGAGGGGGATGGGACGACTGGGTTTATTTTCCAAAACTTGAATAAAATATTTTGCATATCCTCTAAAACGGCCATGCCATGTTCTAGCCTCTCTCCGGGGGGGGGGGGTGGTCTGAGCTTCCGCACCTGGCTTGAGCCGGAACTGAGCCGAGCTGCCTGGCTCCTAACACGCTTGAAATGCAGAGCTGCAACAGGGGTAGGTCTTGGACCCAGCGCAAGCTGGGACTGAGCCGGGCTGCTGGCCAGTCTGCTAAAAATGTACTGGCAACCGGGGGTGGTGGGAAATGCGTGTAGTCCATAGCATTAACATAGAAGGTTTTGATTATCGGTTAATCGACTACACTATTACATCCCTAGTAAGGGGCGGAGGGGCAGGCTGCCCGGCTCCTACTGCCTTTTAAATTGCAGAGCCGCAGCGGGGTTTGCTTCTGGCGCGAGCTGAGCGGGACTGCCTGTGACGGCGCGTTGGGGGTTCCCCGTCTCCTGCACCCCGAAATGGCACAAACAGACTGCACCAGCCAGTGGAAGATGGGGGAGACTGGGCCCCTAAACTCCAGCCCCTTCCCCTAGGCTCTCCTCCATGCCCTCCGACAGCCACCAACCAACCCACTAACTTCCAGCCCTGCCCCCCAGCCAGGGCAGCATCCACCTTCCTTTGTTCCTCTCCATGGGGGGTGTCTGGCCACTGGTTCAACAAGTTTGGCATTACCTCTGCCTAGTGAGGTTTTCCCTGCTGGGTCTTGCTCCAGACAGCAGGGGTCACCACAGCCCAGCAAGTCCCCCCACTACGTCACACTGCCTTGCCCTATCGAGTGGTAAATAGAAACTCTATCGACTACTCGATTACTAAAATAACCTAGATTTAACATCCCTACTCCCTCCCCAGTCCCATCCCCCTCCTCCAACTCAATCCCTTATCTCCAGCTCCCTTCCGCACTCAACCCCTGGCCCTGGCCCCACACCTGCTCCATTAATATCATGGAAAAGTGCAGCTCTTGACCACTGGCCAGATTCTTAGTGGTCCCCCCCCCATCAAAAGCTATTGCCCACCCCTGCCTTTGAACTGACTGTGCTTTGTTTATATGTTGCAGTAAAACAGCATCAGTCACTTCAGCTTTGATTTTGGGGTTAACAGTTCATATTTGGGGATAATTTAAACGTTTTCACTATCTTAAAACCCTCTGGCAATAACACGCCTGGCTTGGACTGTGGCGAGGGGCCGCGTCAGCCCCTGCTGCATTGGGACAGTGCACGGGGGCTGCTCTGCACTGCACAGAGAAGGGACGTGGGTAGGGACTGCCCAGTTGTAGCGGAGGGCTGGGTACGGTGCAGGAACCTTGGCTGGGTTTGGGGTTGGTCCAGGCTACAGAAGTAAATTTCCTATGTCTGTGAAACGAGCTGTGGGATTGTCACTGATCACAGCTCTGGTCTGTAGCGCCTCCCAAAACTCGCCACAGTTCGGGATGTTGAAATGCATTTACACACTGGGAGGCACGCAGCAGCTGGCAGCTTTTCAGCTGGCTCCCCCGCCTCTTGCTGCCTCTGGCGGGGAGGGGCAGAGCTGGCTTATGCAGGGAGCTGGCTTAAGTCGGCTCCCCATGCGCACCGGTTCCTGCCTAGCGGAGGGGCAGAAGGGAAGGGATGCCTCTTACTGCTTCCCACAGAAGCTGGTCATCTTTGCTGGTCCCTGGCCGAGCAGTGATTCCCAGGGGCCTGAGACCATGGTGGAGGCTGGGCGCTTAGCAGAACAACAGGTAGCTGCACTGGGTGAGTCAGGGTTTGCCGTTCACCCCCATGAGGATGGTGGATCCAACTGGGGCGAGGACTCTGTTTCAGCTCATTCGTGAGACGGGGCTCACACCTGCCAGTGAGCAGCACCCGCCCCCTCGTGCTGTGAGGTGTGAGCGCCTCTTGCCGCTGCAGACAAGCCTGCCCGGTGCTAGCTCTCAAATCACAAGCCGCCTGCTATAACCGCTTTCCACGTCTCTCAGCAGTTTTGTGTGGGCAGAAATCCCTGCCCTTCCCCTCATCTGGGAGAGAGACCAGAAAGGCGACTTCCCTGGGTCCTGGTTAGACGCCTCTGCCCAGGCCCTCGTTGCCGGCACCCACAGCTAGACAAGTGCCACGTTTACGAGCCCCACAGAGGACAGCCACAACTCTCCCAGGAAAAGAGCAGACGTGACAGACTTTACCTAAGGGGCTTCCTGGCTCTGCTGTGGGTGCTAAAACCGAGCCCTTGGGTGCTGGACCAGGGCAGATGCTCCTCCTGGTGCAAGATGTGCACAGCCATTACCCGGTGCTGCGTGGGACCAGACCCCCCTGGCGGGCGAGTTAAAGGAAGGGCACGAGGCCGGCTCTGGCGAACTTGAC